TCCTGCATGACCTCTAAAATGCCAAGGAGGGTTGTCCAGGTTGATTCCACGGATGAACAATCCATCTCTTGTGGGGTACCCCAAAACTGAAGGCAATTGAAAGTCATTGAGGGAGTTATAATTCAGGAGCAATCTCACCAGGATAGGCTCTCTACATGGGTGCCTGGTGTGACTTGAGGAATGCCAGATGTTTTCTGCACCCCAAGCTTCCAAATCCTTGTCACTGGGTCTGACATCCCAGAGTCAGACCTCAGCCCATCAGCATATCTGAGTTCCTACCATTTTCCAGGCACCATGCTTAACAATGGGCTAACTTCCTTTGGGTTACACACTACCCTCTTCTAAGCATTTTCTGATAAAAAGGCAAATCTTGTCTGAGATGGTAAGGCATTAACTCACCAGCACCCCAGTTTGAAATAATTGGGGGCTTCTTTATGTTTTTAACTTTTTATTTTATATTGGAATAGAGCCGATTGATTAATTTGTGATATTAACAGTTTCAGGTAGACAGCAAAGGGAATCAGTCATACACATACATGTATCCATTCTCCCCCAAATAAGGGCTACTTTCTTATAAGACAGCAGAGAAGTACTGGATATCTTTAGCAAAAAGGAGCTCAAGTTCAAAGGGCAGAGGTGCTAAGGAGCAAGACAGAGTTCCACCCTGGCCTTTTTCTGTGATGGATTTATAGGGCCAAGTCCCCTCCTTCCTCCACTCTTTCACCAAGACAAACACACTCATTGCCCCCACAAGCAGCAGCAGTCCCAGAGGTAAGCATCGGGGAATGGGCGGCCTTGGCCCTTCTGCAGAGCCGAGGGCCTGCCTTTCACCATCTTCGGGGTGAAGACGCCCTGAACCAGTGCCTGCTCGCTCCCCAACAAGTCCGGGGCTCCCAGTTCAGGTAATAAGGCCGTTGGCAATCTCAGCGGAACCTGCCAATAAAACTGAGACGATCACCCTCAGCCCCTGTTCAGGGGGCAGAGAGGCGAGAAAGAGGGAGGGAAGGGAAATTGTTTTTCTATGCTGAATTCAAGACGGAGCAAGCAGAAGGGAGAATGCTGTTAGTCTCTAAGAGGCCGCTCCATACCTCCCACCCCAACTCCAATAGGCAAGGTTGCCCCCACCCACCATAGATCCCTGGCCTCTGTTTGCCACCTTCATCCAGATTGACAGGGGACACTTGTGTGGGCCGTAATCAGACCAGCAGCCAGGCAGTAAGGACCTATACTTGTGGAGGCAGGCTTTCCCCAACATGGATCCGTCCAGGACCCCCCACCCCACCCTGAAGCCACAGCCATCCTCCATGTCTAGAAGGATGCTCCAGAGTGTTAAAGAGTAACTGAATGAATGCTTGGCATCCTACTTTATATCATCACCAGCTACCAAGGGCTCCATCCTTGTCTGGGTTCTCACATAGTGGGGACCTTTCCTTAACCATCACTGTGATGATGTAAAGCTCACAAATAAAACCTTCCTGTGTATGATCACACTGATACGTGTGACGAAGGGTATGGAACTTCCTACCTGGCCCTTTTTACTCCCTATGTCAACTACACTCACCTCTGAGATACACAAGGGAGACAGGCTTTTCTGTCATATGGTAGGGTGGGGGAAAATGGAGTTTACCAATAATAATTGCCATTTATTGAGTGCTGCGAGGGATCCAGCACAAGTATTCTAGGACGCTATCTAATTTAGTTCTTCCTAGGGGATTGTTGTTGTTGTTGTTCAGTTGCTAAGTCCTGACTCTTTTGCGACCCCATGGACTGTAGCCCACCAGGCTCCTCCATCCATGGAATTTCCCGGGCAGGAATACTGGAGTGGGTTGCCATTTCCTTCTCAAAGGGATCTTCCCAAGCCAGGGAACAGAACCCGCATCTCCTCCATGGACAGGTGGACTCTTTACCATGAGCCACTAGGGGACCCCCTCTTAAGGGGTAGGTACTATTATTATCCCAATTTACAGACAAGAAAACTGAGACCCAGAAAGAGATTCAGAAATTTGCCCAAGATCACACTAAAGTTTTAATGAATACTTATTTAATTGAATTGAAGGCTCCCATTCTAGGTCAGGGACAAGTAGGAAGAAGGGGACAGGCATTTTGCCCCCCCCCTAAAAAAAGACTCCTACCCATTCTCACCAACAAGCAAGCAGGTCTGGAGCAGGCCTGCAAACTCTACTTGTTCTCCTTGAATGCAACAGGTCCAGTGGGCCTAAAAGTGTCTGCGGCCCACCTATGAAATGGCTACACGCCTCTATGATCTTTGGGGCCCCGGAAGCTTTCAAGAATCCCAGATTCTCCCACCGGCCTCTGCCTTTCCTAATGTGGGTGCCCGGGGTTTCCAGCTCCTCAATCTCCTTCCTCTCCCGAGTCTCAACGATGGTGGGGGTGCATCACAGTAGGGTCCTCCCGAGTTGAGCTGGGCGGCCGGGAGCGCTCGCACTTCCTCCCCGCCACCCCCGCGGGCTGAGCTGTGCCTCGCGCGGGGAAACATGGGCACTGCAGGCACCGCTGGTGTCTGCGGCTCGCCTGAAGGCCGCGAACCTCGCGGCGTCTCTTGGCCCCGACAGGAATCCACAGAACCCCTCTCCACCTCCGGGTGCACGCGCAGCAGAAAGCGCCGCGGAGAGGCCACGGCCGGAACTGGAACGGCCGATGCTCGCCGGGGGTCGCTGCTCCCCGCCTCTCCCGGTCTCTCTCCAGCTGCCAGGCTCCGCGGCCAGAGGCCGGAGCCGCTGGCTAATTTTTCACGCCCCCCAGACCGCCTCCCTAGGTGACGCTACAGCCTGTGTGGTTCCTTTAAAGGCTGCGGGTTCCGTTCTTCTTTCCTTTTCCACTGGATGCCAAAATATGCAAATCTGGGGACCGGAATCAGCAGCCAAATCGAGAAGGAGAAGGGGCGCGGCCGGCGCGTCACCGGATCCGCTCCTTGTATGGCTCTTCCCGGCTTGGCCCGCCGCCCCGCGACCCTCCCGGCAGCCGCCAAGGCCCCTCCCGCGCCCAGCCCGGCTCACACTGCCGCCCACGCCCCCGGGCCGGCCAATCGCCCCCCCGCCCCCCGCCCCGCTCCCGCCCCACCGCCTTGGGAGGGAGCCGGGGGCGGGAGGCGCTGCATGCCCTGATTCCGGCCGGAGCCGGGGACCGCTGCAGAGCGCTCTCTCCCCGCGCCGCGCGGGCGGAGGAGAGCCTGGGGGCGAAGAACCTCCCCAGTATAGGTGCGGGGAGCCTGGCGGGAGCAGCAGCAAGGGCGGGGGAGAGGGGGCCCGCGGGCGGCGGGAATCCCTCCTTTCCTAAGCACCAGAGGAGATCCGGGGGAGGCCGGGCCCTCCCACCCCTAGCTCTCCATCGAGTGAAGTGGAGGGGAGGAGAGCGAGGTTGTCATCCACCCCCACGACGAGCAGCAGCTTGGGAGTTCCTCCCACACGTCCCCGGCCCGCGTGGCCCTCCTACGGAGTGAGGCCCGGGGATCCTCTCCTCCTCCTTGTCAACACTCCCACTCCTCCTGAGAAACGCACGTTCCCCCAACCCCAGCTCCAGGGCCAGGGACCGCGGGATCCACCGCGCCCACACGGCCACCGAGGAGGGAATCCTCCTACGCCGAGCCGGTGTGATCTGGGGTCGTTCCCCCACGCTCCTCTCCTCTCCTCCCCCTCTCCCGTGGCCCGGCCGCGCGCGCTCCGGGAACAGGCCTCGGGGAACGTAACAGCCGCCCCCGGGATCTCTGCCTCCCCTGGGAGTTGACAGCGCTCGGGGTCGGCTAACAGGCGGCCCTTGACTGCAAGGCACCCGGCACTCAGCCACGGGGACAGCCCCGTGGAAGGCGAGGGGGAGGGCAGAGACCAGGGGAGGTCGCCGCGGTGGCTCCGAGACTGTGGGTTCGGCAGACTCCTGCGGCAACTCGGTGGCACTCCCTTCGCAGGAAGCACTACACAGCGACTGCGTCTGGGCCTGCTGGGCCCTCCTGCCATCCCGTGGTCAAAGGGGTGCTTTGGAAGCATTAGGGGATTCTTGGAGGGTTTGGTGCACATGTTTCCTGTCCCCTCGACTTCACTCTTTCACCACCAAAAGTGCACACCCTCGACCTCCCGAGGTGCGGGGTTCTCGCCTCCAACGCAGCCGCTCTGCAACTACCAATCTCCCCAACACTACACTCAGCCTGGTGTCAACTCAGGGTCAGGGGCCCAGGGAGCAGCAGGAATGTGGGCGGCAAACCCGAGGGAGGGCGGCACAAAAGTTCCCGAGGTGCTGGACTGGAGACCCCTCATCCGCTGGAATCCTCCTCAGAGGGACTTTGTCCCAGTCCCTGGCGAGAGGAGTCCAGGACCGGAGAGGAGCCGCGCGGGGGCAGGGTCGGAGCGCACACCTTCCGGGTTCCCCAGAAGTTCCCAGGCTGCAAAGGGACCCCCACCGTGTGTTTTCAATCCTTTTTCTTCCTGTTGGGGGGGGAGTGTCGGAGGCCACTTGCAAACCACCCCACCTCACTGTCCCCCGCCCCGCCCTGCGAGCCTATAAGCGCGCTCTCTCCGAGTGCCGACACCAAATAAACACACAGGAGGCTATTGCTCTTTCGACCCCGCGCTGCGCGCTTTACGCTTCACTTTCAGTTACATCCCTCTTTCCTCTCGCCTCTCGAATTTTCTTTCCTTCTTCTATTTCTCTCTCTTTTTTTTAAGATCCGCGAGCGGTGCGGGCGCCGCACGTTGGCTGCGGCCCGCTTCCTGCTTTCTAATGTTCCATTGTGAGGAGCTTCCATTGTGACGTCGCGCCCCTTCGGCTGGGCTTTGTCTGTCCATATATGGGCAGCTACGTCACGGAGCTTTCCCGGGGCTCAGATAAATAGGCTGGTGGAGTTCCCTGGCTGGGAGCTTTTGGGCAGCAGTGAGCTTGCTAGGAAGCGGCGGGGCTGGTGCTGGCGGTAGCAGCGGCAGCGGCAGCGGCAGAGGCGGCTGGCAGAGGCAGTGGCGGCGGTGGCGGTGGCGGATCGGGGGGCTGCGGCGGCGGCGGCGGCGGCAGCTCGGGAGTGCTATGACCGGCAAACTCGCCGAGAAGCTGCCGGTGACCATGAGCAGTTTGCTAAATCAACTGCCTGACAATCTGTACCCCGAGGAGATCCCCAGCGCGCTCAACCTCTTTTCTGGCAGCAGCGACTCGGTAGCCCATTACAATCAGATGGCTACAGGTAAGGGCGGCTGGGAGGCGGCGAGGCAGCGAGGAAGGAAAGGGAGAGAGGAAGAGGAGGAGGGAACGAGCTAGCTACGGATGGATAGATGGATGGATGGATAGAGAGATGGGGGGGTGGCCGCGCGCTGGGAATTTTCCGGGGGGCGAGTTGCTTTTCCCACCCACTCCTCCCGCCCTCCCCGATCGGGAAGGCTCGGTTGGCGACGCCACGGTAGAGGCTTCGTTTCTTCCGGGTGGGGGCAGCCGCCGACCGAAGGGAGGTAGGTGCGAGCGGCTCTGGGGTTCTCCACTTAGGGGGCGCGATCGCCGGGCTGCGCGCAAGGCGTAGTGCCGTCGCCCCCTTTCCCGGGAGGAGCCCAACGTCCCTTTTCACCCGCGCTCTCCCCCCTTACTCCCTCAGCCTCCCACCCGGGATGGAGCCATGTGCGGCGTGGAGTCCCCGCGGTGGGAGAGGTACTGCGACGCTGCCTTTCCAGGGCGTTCAGCAAAGCCGTGGGGGTGTGGGGACGGCGGGGAGGGGAGAAGGTGGGGATCCACCCGCCCGGGGGCTGCCACGGGGGGCGATCCACGGACCGAGGAGCTTGGGAACAGCGGCCACTCCCGCCGTGGAGACACCGGTCGGTTTTCCGCCGCCCTCCACTCTCGCTAAGCTGAGGCTGGGCTTTCCCCCTCCAGCAGGAGCCGAAAGCTCCTTTAGGCCCGGAGGAGGCTGGGGCTGGGGTAGGCGGCGGGAGAGCTCCCTTTGCGGGCAGCACCCCTCTACGCGCCGAGGACAAAGCGACGGAGCGCTCCGGGTCAGCTACCCCGGCGCGGTGCGCACAGGGTGCTTCGTCGGGGCAGGAAGGGCGCGGGGTCCGGCGCGGACAGGGCTAGGGGAAGAGGGCCGAGTTGTGTGCGCTGGAGAGCGAGAGCCCGGCGCGCTCCGGGTCTGAAACTACCTGTAGCTGCAGCTACCTGCCCGCCCCACCTCGGGAATAACAACAATGCTTCTCGCTCTCGCGCCTGTGTGTGTGTGTGTGTGTGTGTGTGTGTGTGTGTGTGTGTGTGTGTGTGTGTGTTACGGGAGTGTGTGTGTACGGCGTGTGCGGTGTGTGTGCAGCAGCCACTCCACACCCCGATCCGTAGTATTTTGCTGTATCCAGGTTGCGCCCGGGAGCGCGGCACCGCCCGCTTTGCGCTGGGCGCAGCTTTCTTTCCTCTTATCCCATCCGCTGCGCACTCCACGCGGCCGCACCCTCCACACCTGGGCAAGGACCTGGGCGCCCCGGCCCGGGAGCCGACTCGGCTTCACTCACCCCTCCCCTCTCTCCCCCGCTCTCCGCAGAGAATGTGATGGACATCGGTCTGACCAACGAGAAGCCCAACCCGGAACTCTCATATTCGGGCTCCTTCCAGCCAGCCCCCGGCAACAAGACCGTGACCTACTTGGGAAAGTTCGCCTTCGACTCCCCTTCCAACTGGTGCCAGGACAACATCATTAGCCTCATGAGCGCCGGCATTTTGGGGGTGCCCCCGGCCTCTGGGGCACTCAGCACGCAGACCTCCACGGCCAGCATGGTGCAGCCGCCGCAGGGGGACGTGGAGGCCATGTATCCGGCGCTGCCCCCCTATTCTAACTGCAGTGATCTCTACTCGGAGCCTGTGTCTTTCCACGACCCCCAGGGCAACCCCGGGCTCGCCTATTCCCCCCAGGATTACCAGTCGGCCAAACCAGCCTTGGACAGCAACCTCTTCCCCATGATTCCCGACTACAATCTATACCACCACCCCAACGACATGGGCTCCATGCCGGAGCACAAGCCCTTCCAGGGCATGGACCCCATCCGGGTCAACCCGCCCCCTATTACCCCGCTGGAGACCATCAAGGCATTCAAAGACAAGCAGATCCACCCGGGCTTTGGCAGCCTGCCCCAGCCGCCGCTCACGCTCAAGCCCATACGGCCTCGCAAGTACCCCAATCGACCTAGCAAGACCCCTCTCCACGAGCGGCCACACGCGTGCCCGGCGGAGGGCTGCGACCGCCGCTTCAGCCGCTCGGACGAGCTGACCCGGCATCTGCGCATCCACACGGGCCACAAGCCCTTCCAGTGCAGGATCTGCATGCGGAGCTTCAGCCGCAGCGACCACCTTACCACTCACATCCGCACTCATACGGGCGAGAAGCCCTTTGCCTGCGAGTTCTGCGGGCGCAAGTTTGCGCGCAGCGACGAGCGCAAGCGCCACGCCAAGATCCACCTCAAGCAAAAGGAGAAGAAGGCGGAGAAGGGGGGTGCGCCTTCTGCGTCCTCGGCGGCCCCGGTATCCCTGGCCCCTGTGGTCACCACCTGCGCCTGAGGCTCGGGCCCCCAGATCCCACTTTTCCCCTTCAGTGTCTCCCGGCTGCTCGCCTGAATGCGCAGCCGAAAAGCTAGCTACGGAGGCGCAGGGGCCGCGCCCTGGCCTCTCCATGGACGTAAGGCCCCTTGTTTCCCTTCGCTGTCCCCCGTCTCCACCCTTTCACATCGGCCGACGGTCGGGGGCCAGGGCAAGAGGCGCCTTCCCCTCGATGCCCACCCCTTAGCCAAGGCGTGGGGTTGGAAAGGTGGCGTCTAGCCCGCTTTGTTCAGTTCGGATCGTCTTGATCCAGGGGCCGCCGGGCCGGGCCAAGGACCTGCCGGGGACTGAAGGCGGGGTCCGCCCAAGCCTCGCCGGACCCAAGCACCTCACGGTTCCCCCCACGTGTCCCTCGATTCCCCCTCGAAGACCCGAGAGGGGGAGGGGGTAAGGAGCGCACCAAAGCGCAGAGCTTGCTGCCCGCCGCACGCACGCGCGCCTGCGTGCGGGGATGCGCGCGAGTGTGCGTGCTCGCGTGTGTGTATGTGTTATGTGTGCGTGTGTGTGTTTCTGTGTGTGTGTGCGCGCGCGCGCGCGTGTGAGACTCTTGAGCTGAACTGGGCTGTGTCCACCCTAAACTCTTCCCCACTTCGGGTCCCCGGGCCGCTGGGGAAACGTCCCGGGCTGGGGGCCTGCGCGTGGCGGGACGAGACGGTCTTCCATCTGCTCAGAAATAATGTTTCTTACAGAAATGCCTCGGATGCCGCCGCCGCGGTGCTACTACCGCCGCTTAGGGTTTGGCCCCTCAGAATCCCTCTTTTTCCGAGCGCTTCCCTCTCAAGGCCTCAGGGCAGTTTGAGCTGCGGGGAGAAGGAGCAGCCATCCTTGAACCTGCCTTTTTAGAAATGTGTTTTCCTCGGCCCCAGTTTTTAAAATCTCTGTCTCTGAGTTTTCCCTCTGCCTTCCCCCGCCTTTCCCCTCTAAGCTTTTTCCCATCTCTTTCCAAATCTTTTTTCCAAAAAGGCAGGCCTCAACCAGCCACCCCATTTCGCCATCTTTTTGTTTTCTCTCACTCACGTACCCATTTCTCTTCCTACCATTGATTGGAATGCAGCCTTTTTTTTTTTCACCTTTGGCATCATCCATACAACAGGTAGAATTCAAATTTAGGTAAATGGCATGTGTGTAGGTATGTATGTGTATAAATATGTGTGTGTTCACACCCACACATATATATATATATATATATACACATATATGTATAACCTGCACACAGTATGTATTTCTAGCAAAATTAAATCTCTAAGGTACTTGGCAATCCAGTGCAGTGCACGGGAATAAAGAGAATTTATAGGCATATACAGCTTTAAACGATTTATTTTTTATGAAAAAATGTAACCAATGAGACTGTATCTGCCTATGTGTGTATGTGTATGTGAGTATGTATATATGCATCCATAGAAACACATAGACACACATCTGTGTCCAAATTTCCCTCAAGTTATGGGGATGTCTGCATTAATCCATGCTGATGAATGAGGCACATCTCTTCCATACCCCAGTCTCACCTTCTCCCTGCCCTACCTCACCTCTTCTCAGGCACCCCCTCCTCCCCAGCCTCCTCCGCACAGGGGGAACTCTTTGGATGTGGAGTAGAAGGGAAGCTGGCCTGAGACACAGCTTCCAGTGCAGTCTTGCCTGAATGTACTGTTCCCTGTTAGCGTTATTTCTCCTGGGGTCAGTAAGCTGCCCAGAGAGAAGGAAGACAGGTCTGGAGTTTACAGAATGTCTGTTTTTAAAGTCACTTTATGCGTTTCCCACTTTTTTTTTTTTTTAAGAAAAAAGCACCGGTTTTTTTTGGTGGTGGATAAATAATACTAAAAGGAATCTAGTGAAAGGGGGGGAAAATCATAGAGCAAGAGGATTCTGGATTTCCAGGTACTTGGATTTTTTGTAGAAGGAGAGAGAAGTGGATGAAGTTTGCCAGGAGGGCCCATATTTTTTCAGCTGAAGGGTAAAATCTTTCTTTGCAGAGACAGTATTTTGCAGAATACTTTTTATAATGTGATGATTATTTAAAAAAACAAAAATTTTGGTCACTTCAAAGCTGGAAGGAGGAATCAGATACCCTTTAATATTTTTTCCTTGCTCCTTCTGATCTATGCATGTCACTGCATGATAATTCTGAGTTTTCCTTTGTTTTAATAAAACTGTTCTCAGACATTTAAGCTAAACTAAGAGAAAAATGACTTTGTTGCCAAAAGGTTGTGCTATCCAGATTTTTTATATGTCTGCATGTTTTAAGAGAAAAAAAAGAGAAAATGCACTCTAAAATATGTGAACTGAGAGAAAAAAAAATCAGGTTTTAAACAGGAAAACCTATGGGGGATGATATTTTTTGAAAGACTTTTGTATAAAGTTGAGTACTTAGAAAAAGACAAACCAGATGTAATATATTTTGTGGATGTTTTTATTTCTTGGATTTATAGTACCTTATACTAAGGTTAAAAAAATATGCTTGATATTGTGAAAAGGTGAAATTCTTCACCAACATTTCATTTGCTCCTTTGTCACATTGTTATGCCAATATAATATAGTTAATGGAAACAGCATTTTTAAAAACCGAAAGATTGAAATGGTGTCATGTTGTACCATTTGCACTGTGAGCAAATGCTAATTCAGTAAATATATTGTGTTTGCTGACAATCAGCCGGCCTATAAATCTCCTTATTTTATTTCTTGTTTTCATGGCATAAAGTTTTGGTTTGGCCTGTTTTTCTTTTCTTTTCTTTTTTTTGTCTTGTTTTGTTTTTGGCTGGTAGTTGGTTTGATAGGTGGTGCTTCTGCCTGGTTTTTGTGGTTCTCTCTCTGAGACCCTTTACTGTGGAAAGGGGGAGTCTGGCGTGACTAGAAGGTGGTCAGAATTTTGTGTGGGGTTCTGGTGCTTCCAGGTCCATGTTGAGTGTTTACTGTGGTTCTCAGAGAATTCCACTGTGGTTCTAAGGTTTCTCCTCCACCCTTCTGAGAGCCTCAAACTGCCAGAGAGATTAGACGAACAGATTAGATAAGCTCATGGGAGTCTGGGCTGGACTCTTTTTCTCTGGTTTCCAATGGGTATCTGAGGGTAGAAGGGAGGGGAGCTCCTGGTTTAGGATCTACTTCTCTGGTGCTAACAGTGAGCACCAGAGCAGGACCCAGGGTTGGGGGGTGAGTGTTTGCAGCCACACTCAGGCATGCTCTAGTTGGAGCTTTTAAAGCTACTGAAAAGCAGATAGAGATTTAAGAGGGGTTCTTCAGGGTTGGCAAGATCACTAGAGAGAGGGAGAGCTCTTCTTGTGGTCAGATAATTGGGAAAAATCAGGTTTAAAAGCTCTACAACTCAGTCCTACTTGGACAGGGTTCTCCCGGTCCCACTATTCATAGCGACCTGGAAAAGGTCTATCTACCCAAGGATCCAATGCTTAGAAGAGAAAGAACCCTGGAATTTGGAGAAATACAGAGAATGTTTTCTATAACAGTAATCCCTCCCATCTTACAATTTCTATCTCCCATAGGAGTAATGCTTTCCTTACCCTCTGAGCTTGCTTCTCTGGAACCTTGCTTTACCTTAACTGACTTTGCCAGCCCCAGAGCTTTCACCACTTCTCTTGCAGAGACACGTAAGCTCCACTTCAGCCCTGTGTTCACATCTCCATCCTGCTCCATCCTGCATCCCCTCATTTATAGAATCCTTTATCCTTGGGAGGCTTGTTACAGAACAGTCTGGACAGATCAGTCTCTCCCTCTCCTGCCTGCCCCCTGAAACACTCGCTCGGGTTTCTTAGCCATGCGTTTTGTATCTTACCTGCCTCAGCAACATGTAGGAGCTTGATGTACAATACAGAGCTGTGTCAGTGTACCATGACACTGTGACTTGGGAACAGCGCCTCACCACCTGAGGTGCCAACTGGGCCAGCCGTCCAGTGACAGAATGTTATTGTGATGTCCCTGCTCGGACACCGTTCTATCATGCCCCCTGCCCTCCATGCAGGCCCATCAGAGTGAAAAATATGGGTGGTATTTCTGGTTGAGAGCAGACCTGGGTGGAGGCTGAGAGCAGACCTGGGTGGAGGAGGTGGGCTGTGGCTTAGAAAAGAATGTTTTTGATGTGAGAGATCAATAAAGAGAATGCAGTATGCAATCTCTCATGTTCTCACCCACACAGTTCTAGGTCACTGGCTGCCATCTTGAATTCCCTTCGCTGGCCTCATGAAACTTGGAAACTTCCAAGCTGCAACTTTGTGTACAGCTGTAAGGCGGTATCCTTCTTTTTTAACACAAGGAATCCAAGATGGCTGACAAGTCCTAGTGATGGAGAATATAGTCCGTCTCCTTGCTAAACTGGATGAATCCTTTCAGATGTCCATGTGTTTTTCAAGTAAACATTATCAGTGGAAGAGAGGTCACCGTGTTTCTTCACAGTTAGCACACAGCCCTACTTGCGCCTTCTCCAGTCAGACCCGGCGTTCAGAGGGACAGTTTCGTCAACAGTGTACTACGCGGCTTGATTAATAAACTGGCTTCCCATTGGTGCGTGTTACTCAACCCAACCTGGTTCAACCACTGGGTTACTTGGCAATATGGCAGCCTGCCTGGCTGGCACCAGCCCTCTGTGGTGTAATCTCTGATTCACACTTTGTTGCTAGATAAGGCTGCCCCAGATAGCATCATATCACCAACCCAACCTGCCTGAGTTTTGTAAATGTGGGGAGAGGAGATTCAACCCTGAAACTTAAGGGTGAAGTGAGGGTAGGGGAGAGGAACGTTCTGGATGGGGCTATCATGAGAAGCAATCCATGGAGGCTTTGCCAAGAAGAGGCCCGGGAGTGTGGAAACCCCTAAGTTGTTTGGGGGTGAATGAAAGGATGCCCCCCAACACACATACATACCCCTTGGAGTGGTATACTGAAAGTAATGACTCTACAAAATTGTACTTAGTGAACTGGGATTGGGTACAAATGAGGCGATACTTTGTGAGAACCGGGGGCAGGGAATAGCTTATATTTTTATTTGGTGGTGGTGGTGAGTGAGTGGCCCAGTGTGTGTGTGTCTGTATTATTCACAAGTGTATAAAAAGGAATAGGAAGGTGGATTCTGGTGAGTGTAGGCAATAACGTGTGGCCACTCATTCCTGATCCCCTTTTGCTAGACCAGAATTTGCTTGCTGTAGGTGAGGGGTTGTGAGCTGCCTTTTCCTGGCCTTCATTGGCTCCCCTTGTGTCCTGGAACAATAAACCTGGGGAAAGTAGGAGGCCTCTGTGTATTCCAAAGACTAGAAATCATACTGGCAAAAATCTTAACAACTAGGGGAAAATGACTTTCTAAAAGGTGCCATGGGGTTTTAAAAATAGGTCGTAATCCTAAATCTATCACTAGTGGCTCCTTTTAGCACACCCACTCTTTGTGTGGGGAGGAGTGCACTCCCCAGAAGAAGGGGATAGTTCTGAGTGACCCTTGGAGCTCTTTGGTCCCAGCAGTACCTGGGTCAGCGCTGAGGGCACACCGTCACTCCCCCTCTGTCATCTATGAGGCATGGAACATGTGTGGCCTCATCAGCTTCTCCCAGCATCCTAGCTCTTGAAATTTCACTGCTCCTTTTGCTAGAAAGTCCCCATCCATGCCAGCCATCTCTAATATTTTCCACGGTGACCATTTTCACTATCCCCTGCAACAGCAGAGGTGGGGACAGGGTTGGGGGCCGTGCCGTGGGGCGCTCCCCAGTTTGCACTAGAGTCTCTAACGGTTCATGCCCAGGCAGGAAGGGAGCAGGCTCTGAACCTCCTGCATGGGATCCTCAATCCCCATCCTTCATCTGGGCTCTGGAATTAGGGTTTTCCCTGCCACCACCACTCCTGCAGGCCACCAGGGACACACTGCTCCTCAGCCCCCTAATGGGCATGAAAAAACTGTGTCTTCCTCTCTGACAAACATACAGGTGGTGAGAAGCAAGGTTTCTGAACAATCTTACTAAGGAGGTAATGTAAACAGATCATGGCCACAAAGTGGCAAACAAGAATTAGAGAATACAGTGTTCTAGATGGTGCTGGCTACTCAGCAGAATATGGGGTGGCTTACTGAGATCCTGCTGTGCTCTCAAGGTCTCTGGACAAAGGATAAACACAATCTCTGGGCTTTTGGAATGTCATTACTTGATCTCAGGCACCCCACCCTGCTCTAATAGTCTCCTCCTTCATCCATTCCTAGGGGTCTTCAAGACTCTGTAGCCCTCTAATGCCATCATTACTCCAGTTATGTTCTCTTGTTTGTGTGGAGCATGATCACCAGCCTTCCAAGTGGTCTCCCATGAGGCCTACCCAGGACCTGCCGTCATCTACACCTTGGACTGTTCACAGTGGTATCACACCCAGCCAGAAGCCGGTGCTCTTTTCTGATCCAGCCAACAACAGACTTGAGTCCCCTCTGGGGTCACCCACTGGGTTTCTAGTGAGAGGCTCAAGAATGCTTTCATTTCTCAGCTCCCTGCAGGAGAAGAAATGTCTGACAATGCCGAGGCTGGGGACAGCCCAGTCCTCCATGAGGGAAGTTACCCTTACCTGCAGACCCGCGTTCTGGTCCACCTCAGGGGGGTGACCACTTACCCAGAAGTCATTAGGTCCCTGTCTCCACGGAAGGGAGAGAGATTAGTGACAAGAACAGAACTGGGCCTCCAGGAACGTTGACTTCTTCTCAACAACAGGCTGCAAGAGCTCTGGCACTTTTACTCCTGAGCACCTTGCCCATCCAGGTGGTCTAGGCACCTAAAAGTCTTCCATTCTTCCTTGTTCCCTTTTCCCTACTGCTTTGGAAGGTCAGGCCCTCTGAGCAGGAAAGAAAATTTTCCTGCTCCTGTATGACCCTCGGGAGCTAAGGAAAGCTTACTTGGGGCCACTTGTTACTCAGGTCTCCGTCCTGAAAATTGAGAGGCAGTTTGATAACCAAGCAGCTACTCCAGCTGTGCCCTTGGGGCCCTTAACTTGTTTTGGAGTCATCATCCATCCTTGATCTGAACCCAGCTCTGCCACTTTCTTGCATTGTGACTGTCAACATGTTTCTTAGTCTCTCTGGACATCATTTTCCTCCTGTCTGATCATTACTGTTGTGGGGTTCAAGTGAGGTGATGTGTATGATGCCTGACTCAGTGTGGGTGCAACATAAATGCTCCTTATCTTGCTTGCTCCTTGCCCTGCCCTCTTTCCCCATCCTCCAAATCCAGATGCGAGAAAGAGGCATCTGGCTCCACCAGGGATCAGTACATGGATCCAAACACAGCCAGAGGAACGTGCAGTCCTCGGAGCCACTCCCGACCCCAGCCATCCACTGGACATCTGTATTCTGAAAATGGGTCCTCTCCACCCCACCCCCCAATCCACCCAGAGGACACGAGTCCTGTCCCCTCTTGGCTGCAGTTGCTGCTTATTGTTGCCATTTCCTGCCCTGGTTCCTGACCCCTTCCCTGGTCCTTTTGTCTCTCTCACTTAGATGGGTGGATGTAACACCTTCCTGATCCAGTATCATCTGCAAAGTTAATTAATGTGTCATCAGGTTGTTGCCTGCTTCCTGATCCTTATCAGGGATTTAAATAAAACGCAGCAGCCCCAGCTCTTCCCCGACTATCCCTCACCCTGGATCTGAGACTTGTTCCTAGTCATCAGTCCTTGACCTCAGCCTTCTAGCCAGTTCCAGCTTCCAGCCCCAGGGCTGTTGGTGCTGCCCCTGCCCCACCCTAGTTTGGGAACAGACGTGACATCCAGGGCTTTAATGACAGTGAGGTTCTTGAGAGAATCAGGGTTGCTAGGGCCTTTATCTCACCCCACCCCCTTGGGCGGGTTCCCCTAGGTTTGTAGAGTCATAAGAGACTTTGGAGAAAGAAATGGCCACCTGCTCCACGATTCTCACCTGGGAAATTCTATGGACAGAGGAACATGGCGGGCTACTGTCCATGGGGTTGGACATGACTTATCAACTAAACAACAAAACAACAAAGGGACTTTGAGAGGCTATTTAGTCTAACACACTTCTTTTGAAGTGTGGAGGTCATGATTTGTCCAAGGTCATATATATCCAGTAAAGGCAGAGTCAGGATTTCAGATCCAGACTCTCAGCAGATGGTCCCATAAAAGGGTGCTAATTGCTTCATTTATTTAATAAATACTTGTGGAAGGATATAGCTGTGAACGAAAGAAAAAGTCCCTCTATTCTCAAAGATTCTCTTCTCCAGGGAAGAAGCAGGTAAAAAACAAACAAACAAACAAGTTTTTGACACAAGCGTGTTGTGTCAGATTGTGATATGTGTCACAGAGAAGAGTAAGAAGAAGGACAAATGTTGGGGAGCTGATTACAATACTATTTAGGGTGCAGGACTTCCCTGGTGGTCCAGTAGTAAAGAATCTGCCTTTCAATGCAGGAGATCCCTGGTTGGGGAACTAAGACCCCACGTGCCACATGGGGCTTACTGAGCCCTTGCTCCACAACTAGAGAGACTGCATGCTGCGATGAAAGATTCCTCAAGCTGCAACTAAGACTTGACATAGCCAAAAATAAATAAATATATTTTTAAAAATATACTATAGGGTGGTCCAGGACAACCAAACAGGGAAGGAGCCTTTGTGCACAGATGCAGGAAATGATGGAGCTGGCCACACAGGGACCTCTGGGCCTTAGCTCTCTGGGCAGATGGGATGGCAAATGTAAAGGTCCTGATGATGGTATTCTTGGAGTATTAAAGGAATCACATGGAGCCAGAGTGACTGGAAAGAAGCCAGGGAAGGAGTCAGCCATAGGAAGAAGTCAGAGAGTTAGTGTGGGGACCAGATCACAGAGAAAGCAAACCCGTTCTGAAGACTGATGGTCAGAGAGAGCCCCGTCCCCACCAAGCCTCTGGGGAGAACACTGGTCTGTGCCTGGGGCCCCCTCTCTCTCCCCATGCTACCTCTCCTTTCACCCTTCAACCCCCTTCGTCTGCTTGGCCTCCTCACCCCCTTACTGCCGTCTTCCTTACCCTTCTTCCACATCCTCTCAGAGGCCACCGATGATTCCTAGACTCCAGATTGTCCAAGGAGAGACAGAGCTGCCTCCTTTGAGAACCACAGCCTGAAAACCCTTTCTCCTCCTGTTGCCCTTTGCCTGGATGCCAAGTCCCTAATAAGATGGATGACTCTTCCTGCTGTCCAGCCTCAGAATGGGAATTTCCCTTGGCCTCATCTCTGAGGAACTGATGCAAAGGCAGCCGCCTCCTTCATCTGTGGCTGGATTGGCCATGTTTCCTGCCTTGGCAAAGAGCTGGTGGATGGCCGCTTTTCTCCAAGAGGGTCATATTCTCATCCCGTCTCAGCCCTCATCTTGTAAGATGGAACATTCCTGAAATCACTTAATGTGCAGTCTTCCTGGCTACAAGCTCCATTTCCCTGGATTTTTGCAAATCTTGGAGCATCATTTCTATACACTCATCTGAGCAGTTTCATTCTGGAGAAGAAAAAATGTCTTCCCTTGCCTTTTTTTGGGTCTTCCACTTCATGTCTTTCCAAAAG